GTGACAGGCATGACAGCAGATGCTGGTGTTGTTGATGCCTTAATTGTAGTACCATGTCCAGTCTTGGGCGCTGCATTTCAAAAAGACATGAATGGTTTTGAGACAACACAGGGAGAAGAAATAAGCATCCTGAGAGGTTTAAAACTGTGACACACAAGGAAGGATTGAAATGAAATGGAGTTGCTTAGTCTGTAGGTAGAAAAATTTAGGGGAGACATATTTCTTAAGATATGCAAGAGGCATATTGAGAGACAAGAACTAAAACCGTTCACGTCTATCACAGCTACACTTCAGTAGCAGTGAGCTTTTACTTTAACTAGTGTTCCAGGTTCCTCAGTGTGAGCTGGACCAGGGAACTCACCTGGCTGAAAATGAGCAATTTTGAAAGTAGTTTCAAAGCAGCTTAAATCACTCTAAATCGAGTCTGCCACAGTCCCACGTCCTCCGTTATGCCAACATTGGTACTCATATACCTGGAGGGCAAGCTGAGTAGGACAAAGAACAGGTATCTTTTGTAGGATGAGTAATGTTCAGAGAGTTCAGGCACTCACTACCTGCACAGACAGACAGGATGCGACTGACCCATCAAAACAACCAGCTCTCAAACTGCCCTTGAGCTCATTTCAAAAAAAAAAAAAAAAAAAAAAAAAGAAAAGAGACTGTACCTCAGAGCGTTTTGGTCATATCAACACAGGAGGACTGCTGCTCATGAGAGCCCATTTTTCTTTCTGCCAGAAATACAGGGGAAACAGTGGATGGTATTTTCAAGCATAATAGCCATGTTAACACCATTAGTCGTATTGTGGGAAAAAAGAACCAAAACCAAACCACCAAACACCAAGCCACCAGGTAAATAAATTCAAACAAAATTTATGATATTTAGCAATACTATCTACGAGCACTCGTTGTGCTGGCCGCTATACATATAAATACACTTAAAAAAAAAAAAGAAAAAAAAAAAAAAAAGAAGGTGCCAAGTGATTCAGACAGCAATCATACACTGGCTAAAGAAACCCACGGGTGCAGGGCTGCAGAAACCCTGTCGCCGAGAAGTAAGCCGCTGCTTCCCGGCTCTCATTACGGGGCAAAATTAGGGAACTGCGGGCTCCGCCTGAAGCGGCTCTGTCCCTCCGGCGGCCCCGCGGCCCCTCGCACAGCCATGTCCGGCCCCGGGGCACCACGGCGGGCCGGAGGGAGGCCCCTCCCGCCCGCAGCCCTCCCCGGGAAGGGAGCTCTGGGCCCCGCTAAGAGCGCCCGGTGCTGCGGGACGTGGCTTTTACCTCAGTGTTAGAAGGGTTTTATCTCAGCGTTAGAAGGGTTTTACCTCAGCACTGCCGGTTTTTTTACCTCAGTCGACGGGCCTCGCTCTGGCGGCGGCCGGCGCTTGTCCGCCTCCCGCCCC